TATATGCCTAAGAGTGGAATTGCTGGATCTTGTGGTAGACCGATTCCCATTTTCCTGGGAAACCACCATACTGATTTCCAAAGTGGCTGTACCAGTTGGCACTCCCACCAGCTGTGGAGGAGTGTTTCCCCTTCTCCACATCCTCTCACGCATAAACTATCATTAGTGTTTTTTATTTTAGCCATTCTGACAGGAGTAAAATGGTATCTCAGAATTTTTTTGATTTGCATTTCCCTGATGGCTAAGGAAGTGGAACACTTTCTTATGTGTCTTTCAACTATTTTAGATTCTTCTATTGAGAACTGTCTATTTAGTTCTGTACCCCACTTTTTAATTGGGTTATTTAGTGTTTTGGAGACCAGCTTCTTGAGTTCATTGTATATTTTGGAGATCAGCCCTCTGTCAGATGTGGGGTTGGTGAATATCTTTTCCCAGTCTGTGGGCTGGTGTTTTGTCTTGCTGACTTTATCCTTTGCCTTACAGAAGCTTCTTAGTTTCAGGAGGTCCCATTTATTAATTGTTGATCTCAGTGCCTGTGCTACTGGTGTTATGTTCAGGAGGAGGTCTCCTGTACTAATTCATTCAAGGGTATTTCCTAGTTTATATACTAATACGTTCAGTGTGGCTGGATTTATGTTGAGGTCTTTGATCCATTTGGAGTTAAGTTTTGTGAATGGCAATATATGTGGATCTATTTGCAGCATCCAGTTATGCCAGCATCCAGTTATGCCAGCACCATTTGTTGAAGATGCTTTCTTTATTCCATTGTATAGCTTTTGCTTCTTTGTCAAAAGCATGTGTTTGTAGGTGTATCATTTTTAATGGTTAAGAAGTAGCCTGATAGCCGGGCATTGGTGGCGCACGCCATTAATCCCAGCACTCAGGAGGCAGAGGCAGGCGGATCTCTGTGAGTTCGAGACAAGTCTGATCTACAAGAGCTAGTTCCAGGACAGCCTCCAAAGGCACAGAGAAACCCTGTCTTGAAAAAACCAAAAAAAAAAAAAAAAAGTAGCCTGATGTATTTAATGAGGTTCATTTCATTTGTTAACATGAGGTTTTATAGGCATAAGTTGACATTTAAGGTTTGAATTCTGAATGAATGAGATTTCCTGCAATAATATAGTCTCCTGCCAATTGGTATTCTGAAAAGAGAAAAAAAAAAAGGACCAGGTCCTTCAATGAGGTAAGGAATCCTCACTGTTGGCTTTGGTCTTCATCTATGCCATTGGCTTTTCTGAGACTCCAGGCTCAGGGCCCATTCTGAGAATTATAGCTTCACCATCCTTCTGATTTCTCAAGCCAATACTTCATAAAAAAAATCTGTCTCCCTGTATCTGTCTCTCTTTGTCTCCTTGTCTGTCACCTTTTAAGTACTTAAGTATGCATGTTTATATACATATGCAGAGATTTGGTGTCTGTTTTACTGGAGAACATATAGGAACAGTAGCAAAGCACAGGATAACATGATAATGATATTTCAAAGGAAATATATGGAAGATTGGCTGAGCAAGTGTATTATCAGAAAAAAACACTGTGGTTTATTTGTATATATTCTACTCAGATTAAGTGTTCATGAAGTTTACTCATAGTATGACTTATTTCCTTGTCTCCAGCAATGTGTACCAAGACATATGTCTTATTAATTATGTCTTTTCCCTGTTTGCTTTCAAATTAATCTTTACTTTTAATATTATTACCTTTTGACTATGTTCTATTTCCTACTCTTTTCACCCTAAGATTTGTCTCCACTAAAAAAAATAAGAAATTAGTGTACACTAGGTCATAGGTTAAGCAGGATAGAGAATCAAGAACCTAAGATCACTTGGAATTTAATATGTTTAGTATGTCACCAAGAGTGGATAGTTTGATTCAATAGAAAAGGGGTGTGTTGTTTAATACAGTGGCATATCTGATCATCTAGCCAGAGGGGTACATACTGTATCATAAGTAGACATACATTCCAGGTAGAACAAA